CCCCTGCGGTAGGTAGGCAATTTGTTCGACAAAACCCCTGAAAGTAGCCAACCCACAGCAAATCGCCCCCTCCGTCAGACGGACTTAAAACCGCGCCCGTGTTACGGAGGTCTTACCTACTCTTCACCAGAGCTTGTAAACCTTGTAGAGTCCATTGAAAATACAGTAGGAGATTGCGTGAGTAACCACGATGTCCACAAAGAAATGGTGTACACCATTTTAAAGTACTTGCTGATTGATGCTTGCTGCTTTGTCGGCTGCTTGGATCACAACCCAGGCTAAGATTCCCATGGAGGTAGCCATGGCCACGCGTTTGCCATGGCCGCCCATGGTCACACATGGCCACTGGCCATGGACCAAAGGGCCATGGCCAAATCATGATACTATTCATGGCCACGGTATATAGGCGTCTTGGCCATAGTAAGAAGCAGTGGCCATGTCCATTTTATAGTGGGAGAGCTAAAGTAAGTCTTAAGTTAAAGGGTATACATAAGTCAGTCTAGGAAAGTGAAACATGTCCGCAGGATGCAAAAATCGAGGCGAAACCGAATCTCGTGTCTGTTTCGGCCTAGCTCAAACCGTTTACAAGTTGCAGGGAAAAACATCTCCGATTTCAATGAAATTAAAATGGCCCTACTAAAATACAAGGAACGGTGACGGTGTGGAGGGACTATTTCCCGCAGGACACATGGATCCATTAGAGTCTCCGAACAGGCGGAGGGTGAAGGAGGAAGGAGACAAGGAGAATCACATTCCTGCCCCTCCTAAAGTCCTGAAGACTGAGAGTCTTGACTGTCATCCACCGACGCCACAACTTCCCATGCTTTCTCCATCTGGCGAAAGCAGGAAGAAATCGGTGCACGCCATGAGATCGCAGGCCAAGCATTCCGAAAAAGTACATGAGCAGTTCAGCTCCATCCTGAACACACTAGGCAACAGCATCAGGAACAGGATGGAGCAGCCTGCAGGTCCATCAGGTATGGACCTGCAGGTAATGAGCGAAGAAATGTTGCTCGGCATTTCCATTGGTAAGGCGGTAAAGAATATTAAAGATCCTAAGAAGAAATAGAAGCTGAAGAGAGAATTCGAGAAGTTGAAGTTTCAGTGTGATGACTCTGACTTAGAGTAAAGTACCTTAACTAACAGTATTTTTTTCACTTTTTGTTGACTTGGTAGTTTTCTTTTGTGCTAGCAGTGTTTTGTTTATGCTAAGTTCTGTTTTTTCTTTTTTGTTTTTTTTTTCCAAGCATACTGGCAGACTGAAATGTTATTATAGTATTATTTAAATGACTGATTTTGTACAAATGCAAGTGCCATATTAAATGCTATGAAATGACTCCAAATGCAACTTTGTTGTTCAGTTGATAGGAGGCCTCAATAATTCAATGAAAACGGTACTTAAAAAGTGTCACTTTAATTAGATTGAGGGAACAGCATATACAACACACAAAAGTAATAGTTTTACAGGTAATCAGTCTCATCATTTTTGTCCTTCAAAGTAACGTTTTGGACATTGTTAAAGGTTCATATTGCACAGAATTTGATTGGAAGCCAAGTAGTTCCTATAACCAGGTTGCTCGCTTAATTTGTTCTCGAGTTATCGTGCGGACAGACACACAGACAAACACACCTACAGAAAAAGTTTTTTGAACCAGACGGAGTAATAAGCTTCGCTAATCGCTTAGCCAATGAAATGCTTACATCTACTTAGGCCTGCTTTGAGAGAACCAGCTTTGCAGCTCACAAATGACCCTGGTCCGGTTTGATAGGACCTGTGAATAACTTCATTAGAGTGGCACCTTTTATAAATGACACAGAGTTGAGCACTTGATTTCAATTCTTAATCAACCAAGCAACCAACTAAGCAGCCCACCAACCACATCACCCAAATTCATTCTGCACCTTCAATATTATCTGCATCATCGTCAGAGTCAACTTCATCATTATACTGTCCATAGCCTGCTATTAATCGGGCACCCCAATATCCCGCTCTGACTCTTTCCCCACAACCTAGTAAACACCCCCTCTGTTACATTGCAAAAGATCACACTGTCATTGCATTCAACTTTCATTTCATTGCATAAGAAACTTCCATCGTAAATCCGGCATTACTACCAATTTATTAATCATGCCTTTATTAAAGTTTCAGTTGATTGATGGAACATTGTGAACAACATATCAAAAGATGACAGGACATTTTTTTTTCAAATAAACGTGGGAAGTTTTGGATTTAGTCTCTTGGCTGGTCCTCCTCCCCCCCCCCCTCCCGTCCCAGCACGTACACAAATATCTGAGGTTAATGTTTCAAGAAGGTGATTGAGTGCGAGTATATATGGACCCGGAGCACAGTGAATTGGAGACAGAAATGATATGTAATGACAGCGCTGTTATCGCTCGATAACTTCAGAGATTTTTATATTATAGTGTACTTTCATGACGACGAAATTGTCGATAAGATCGAGTTGTTTGGGGTTGTTCCTTTCACTCGTGTGAAAGGTTGCTGTTAGGTGGCCGTCGACTGGTTTAAAAATAGAATAAAGCCTCTGCGTGGTACAGTAACCATATTCCATGTAGAAGACAGTATTCCTGTCAATACATCTAGTGATCTTGGTTTGAAAAGTTGTCTTAGGTGTCAACATGAGCCACTGGATAAAGAGAGGAAGGGCGTTGCTGTATGGGGCCCTGGAGGTAAGCGTGAGGGTGCTCGCACACTATCCTTCTGCCTTTCTAGCAAAGGGAGTACCTTAATGGGTATGTCAAATTTACCACCAACCGAATAACTACATTACTCTGTACTTATGCCTTTTCCGGCCTTTTCAGAAAACTTGGAAACAACATTAAGAATATTTGCGCACTACAACCATTTGTACCGCTGGAAAACCAAGAGGAGTGAAGAAGTAGTGGTCAAGGCAGCAGCTTTTGACCATTCCCCTGCAACGGTATCAACTGCTCATCACCACAGTAAGTAGGCTAGTGAACACAAAATATTTTTCCGTGAATAATTTCAACACAACTATCAAAATTAGTATCGAATCGATCTATAGCTTCAAAACTATATGGTATAGCCGTAACATTGTAAGTCTTATTGCATATAATCAAGCTAAGTCTTTTTTTTGTGCCATTTATTTTACAGATAAGAAGAAAACTTCAAGTGTGGCAGCGAGCAAAGTCCACACAACTGGTTGGATACAAGCCATTCCACCAGGGCTCTTATCGAGGGGTGGATAACTCCCCTGCCACCCTGCACCTTGCGCTCGGTTCTCAAATGGTTCGAGGAGCATGATGGTGATGGACTGAATGAGGACGAGAGAAGCAAGTACCAGCTGGATGGTGAAAGCTGGAAAGAGCCTGCGTTTGACAAGGTGCAGTATTCCTTTATGTTCACTTCACTTTCCATTGAATTAAAGAAGGTTTTATCCATCCTGTTTTTCTATCTTCAGATTGAATTGAATCCGGAGAGTGGAGTGTGGATTCAGAAAGAAGCACTGGAACGACTGAAGGATACAGCTTCTTTTGCAGCAAGGGATGGGCAGACCGTTTTATTTTGTAGTCTGTTAAAAGAGCTGCTTCAGGAGAACAACATTTTAAACATTCTTCCATCATATGTTGATAAGCAAGTCCTCCACACCACAATGAGTAAGTTATCTTCAGACAAGCAAATAGATCAATAAATTTAGTCATTTAAATTTACTGTTTACAATTGACAGTGGTTACAGTAGTACATGCCATTCAGCAGAGATGATAAACTTGTTTGCATAATTATTTTCAGTTTCAAGCAAAGACCTATGTGATCATGAAACTAATTCCACACTATTTTTACTATAAATCCGTTCCAGTTCAAATTTTAAAATGAAATGCAGTGGTAAATTTTCATGCAATTTGTTGAAATAATCAAAAATCAAATCCACAGAAATTTTTTTTGTTAATTAATTTGAAAATCATTACTGTTAGTTAACCGTAGTTATCAATAGAAATTTGCCTTCCCCCTTCCATTTTAAATACCATGTTAATTAAAAACTAATACGTAATTATTTGTTTTCAGGGTATGTCAACGGGAGATATAAAAAGTGGAATGTAGCTAAGTACTGCAACGTGTTGTACAATGCGCGGGGTTATGAGAAGAGGAAGAGGAAAGCTGGGGAAGCATTTCAAGACGATGAAGATGAATCTCAGAACCCCTCTCAAGGTAAGCGGCCACGCAAAATACTCAAAGCAAAATCCACTTCTAAAAAAACACGCGAACAGACCGCACCTTCCTTATCTAAATCTGAAACAGCACCCACTTCACCTACTACCATAGAGCAAGCACCCACTTCACATACCAGAGAGACTCCAGCACCCACTTCACCTGCCATCACCAGCCAGCCGTCTGTTGGCAGCCTACCCTCTGCCTCCCCCAGCCTCCCCCAACACATTCCAATGCATCTGCCCCCCATCTAACTTTGCTAGAATCTGTCTGCTCCAAAAATTCCGTGCCTGTCTGTCTACCATCACAATCTCATCCCCGCCACCACTCCGATAATGTCCTGCCCCAGCCCTACCTTCACTCTGTTCCTAATCCCTACCAGCCCCTCTACACCTCACCCCCCAACCACCAAAATCAGGTCTCACAGTACCCCACACTATGCTTCTGTGTATCTCGCTAAGTTACATAAACTGGCACCAATATCTCAAAACAGTCAAAAATGTTGCTTCGGATGTTCTCCAGCCGGGCTAATGCAGATCGAACATTCTCCAAACGACGCTTGTAGATCGGACATTCTCTTAGCGACCGTCGTAGAACGGACTTTCTTGCATAGGGGCGACGCAAGGGCCTAAGGCAAGATGAACACCACAAGATGATACGGACAGTAATTGAACGGACCTGCGCCACGGTAGACGCCGACAACAAGCCAGTGCTAAAGTTCTCCATCGCGATGGAAAACCTCGTGCGTGAACATGTGAAGGAGGAAGCAGAGAAGAATAACAAAGCAACTGTGGCTGCAAAATCGGCAGACAATTCAAAATCTGCCGCCGCTGCCGCCAATTCAAGTCCAAGATGGCGGCCTCACCCTTACTGGGTGCTTTTCATTCGCCAACCATGGTCGACCATGGTCGACCCTGGTCGCCGGATGTGCTTTCCATTCGGCGTGGTAACCCAACTCGGTCGACCGCCAGCGACAGCGGCCGAAATCGGCGGTCGGGCATGGTTCGCGAAGAAATCAGGAAGAAAGTAGCGGGAAACGGCT